GGCGGGGCGCTCTTTTCTCTCTGGGCGGCTTTTAGGCGCCCGGCCAGGCGGTGGTTTTCGGGCGAGGGCCGCTGGGCGCCTCCTTTGTGTCTGCCCGGGTAGCCAGGGAGTAGGCCTCCGTGTGACCGCGTGGTAGTGGCTTTCCGCTCTCGGCCCCGCCTAGCAGCGCGTAGGCGCCATTACAGCAGCCGCCATTTCTTTACCCTGGACCTGGCTGCCGCCTAGAAAGGCAGATCTGGAGTCACTTCGGTAGAGAAGTGCATACGATGTAACTCGGCTCTCCTTTGTGTCTGCCCGGGTAGCCAGGGAGTAGGCCTCCGTGTGACCGCGTGGTAGTGGCTTTCCGCTCTCGGCCCCGCCTAGCAGCGCGTAGGCGCCATTACAGCAGCCGCCATTTCTTTACCCTGGACCTGGCTGCCGCCTAGAAAGGCAGATCTGGAGTCACTTCGGTAGAGAAGTGCATACGATGTAACTCGGCTGCTCGGCATTTTCCTCCCCCCTGGAGCACGACGTAGTCCCCGGGCAGGTTGGGCTGTGGTAGTTCAGCCACTTGAAGCGGGACAACTATCTCAGCCGTCAGCGGGAGTGGCCAAGTCATGCGGCGGGGCTGCTCCTCTCAGCGAGTGTCCCGCTTATTGGGCGAGAGGGTTGGGGTGGCGGGCGATCCTTCCACCGCTTCCTATCGAGCGCTGCAGCTTTTGTGCCTATCCTCCGCCAGCTCATCCCGATGCGCAAAGGAGTTTTTTACCCTCACTTAAATCTCCCTTTCACCCCCTGTTGAATATAGGCTCTTATACAGCGTTTTTCGCTTGCTGTTTTAATCGTGTAATGCTTTTTGATCGCTTCTTTCTAATTTAGTACTATAGCAAGTGTGAATCACTCATACATATGGGAGCATTCCAGTAGCCAGTGAGTAGCTCAGTCGATACAGGGTGTACCAGTGCCTAGATTACTGGGCATTTCTGGTGGTGATAGCAGCAACAGAAATGAGGCTCGAAAATCTCCCAATTACATCCCACGACCATATATTCTCAGTTTATTTGAACGTTCTGGAGTTTTCTGTTTTCCTCAATAATTGTGGAAGAAATATAGAATTGCAGGTGTATGTACTAAATCCCCTTTTTCTTATTCTTAGTTAATAGTTAATTTCAGATAGTTGATAAGTTTACAGAGGCTAGCCTGGACACTTCCCAAGTACTTGTTTATGGAATAATGCTTTTTCTGAATAGTGCCTCTGCTACTGTGAATTAATGAACTATATTTAGTTTGAGGTTAAATTCTTTTGTATTTCAGTGCTCTTAACTATTGTCCCTTCTAAATCAGCCAAACAATATTAGTGTATGCTTTCCATTTGTAGTTTAATCTTTTTAGTAAATGAATTCAAACTTCAACTTCTGGAAAAGAATATAAAGAATCTTAAACTGCCACAGTTTTTGGTGGCCTTAGAAACTATTTCTGTATGCTTTAGTTGTTGAAATGTGGCTTAAATGTGCACTGCAATGTAAATCTATTTATAGTTAATAGGATTTCAGAAATGTTTGATGGTTGTACATGTACACATGAGACTAAAATGTGTTTGTGCAGTGCTTTTCATAGTTTCCCTAAGGTAGACCTATTTATAGGCATTTAAAAGTCCTATTGAAAGTTTAAGTGGCTCATAAATTAATGTTACTAGCATTTGTCTTTGTAGTTTTCAGTAGTGTCTCCTAATTTACAGATAGTGGAAACGTACCCATGTTAGAGAGAGGCAGAAATCTGAAGTGCAAGTGTTAATGTACTGTGATAAGGATTGATTTAGCTCTTTTAATTTTAGAATTTGAAGTTCCCATTTGTTGTGTGCAAGGTTAATACAGTAATAGTGCTAACATCATGTGAACATTAAAAATAAAGGCAACACTATTTCAGTAACTATTTTAACTGAAGTGAGAACATTCAGTAGTTCGCATCTTTGTGTATAAGGCCTCACATGTCTGCATTCTAAAGAAAAACTGCTTAATAGTGTATGCAATTAAAGCTCAAGCATCAACTTAGATGTACTCTTTAAGATTGTGTAACCATGAATGAGCAAGACTAAAACTAATGTATGTTGGTTTTCATAGGCTACTGAAGCAATAGGCTGTTGGTTTTGATCCCGCCCAGAACACTTCACTTTTGCTCTGCAAGGATATATATAATACTCAGTAAGTTCTGAAAGCAGTTGTCTTTGTTCCTTTTAGCAAGATGCACAACTTATTTTTTTTTTCTGTAAAGAGTACTTGTGCTAGCCTTTTTATTCTTTGACAGGTTCCATTTACCAATCTAAAAATAAAAGGTAGTAATGGAGACTGAACCGCAAGAGGAGACCTTTACCAACACAGAGACAAATGGTAAGGATTTTAGAAGGCTAAAATTATTTACTAACTGCATTCAAAAAATTAATAAATTATTGACATACTGAATGTTTTCTAGAAAGTAGGTAGGCACTACCTCTAATGCATTGACTATAATACTTTCAGATTTCCAAAATAGTCCAATAAAGTTACAATTTGAATTTTGATTCAGCGCCTTGGTTTTGTTGTCTTGTCACTTTATACCGTGTGTTCTTGTTTAGTGTGCATGTACATTTATGTACACAGATGCTAATCAAATGACAAAATTGAGGATTTAAACTAGCTGTACACAGCTCATTGAACAGAAGCAAGTACTAGCTAGCAGCATTGTTGCATTTTTATTTATTTAATGCTTTGCACAAAAGAACTATATGGTATGCTTTGCTTGCTTAGGAAATTCTAATCCAGTAAAATTCAAAACAGTAATAATTCAGTTTTCATAGTAATTGATGCCATCTTAAGAGAATATTTGACTTGTTCCATTCCAGATTATTCCAATTGTACTCAGTAAAGGGGTTAACTTTTGAACCTTTTGGAGAAGTCCTAAATTGTATGAAAGCAACAAACTCCCAATGTTTTGCATTAAACTGTGCTTCATAGATTATAAATGATTGAAATATTAAGGCCATCAGTCTGTGTAAATCTTAATTTTACCACTGTTTTTGTATTGGGATTGTAATTTTTTTTGTTGTTGTTACCCATGTTCAGTATATTCAGCTTACGGATTTGACATTGATGTCAACTTAATAAGGCAGAGAACTTAGTCAAAAACATGTATGCGTGTAATCAAAGTGCACACATTTTGAATGTGACAGAAAGATAAATTGATGTTTGCATTCTTCCCTGATGAAACTGTAGGAAAGCGTCCTGCAGAAGATATGGAAGAAGAACAGGCTTTCAAAAGATCTCGCAACACTGATGAAATGGTAGAACTACGCATCCTGCTTCAGAGCAAAGTATGGTTTTGAAAATAAAAAATACTTGAAATATTTTACCCCATTTAAAATGTGCTAGACCAGTTATGTAGACATTCATGGCAAAGTATATAAACTTAGCGCTTGGGTTTTTATTTGTTTTTTACATCTAAAATGTAAAAAGAAAACCCTTTATTTTTTGTAATTTTTATCGTGTAACATTTTGCTCTGTTGGGAAGAACTAACATGCAGTTTAGTGGCAGAAATAGTTTCAAACTGTGTAGATTTTTAGAATAATCAAATGAAACTTCACTGGTTTGGTAGAGGGATATTAGATTGGAACTGTAATGCACTTATGGATTTTTAGTGTCTCATGTTTTAAGCCAGTAATCAAATAGTGAATTAACAGCTAAAGTACAGGCTATTTTCTGGACTTGAACTAAAAATTGGTTATTTTAAACCAAATGCTATTCACCTCAAGTAATAAAGCTGTAAATAGAACATTCATTGTTAAATTGAGATCACAGTTTTAATATAGGGGAGGAAGTTGTACCTGACCAAATCTTGATAACTCTGGGCTTCAACAGTCAAACTGTTGAATTTACCCTCATAGGAAAACAAAGAACGGTGTGGAAAAGTACAGATTAGCTCCTTAGTGGATGTAAATTTATTCTAGTTTAGGATTTGCCCATAGAGTATCTGTCTCTCTTTATCTGTGACACTTGAGGCGGCAGTACATAATGAATTTGCTATGGCTAACTCCTTAGTTCTCTCAGAAATTATCATGTAGCCATAATGATAATTTGAGCATTGATTGGTCTTGCATTTTCATGAAATGAAATGTTGTAGTAATAAAATACTGGGGTTGGGGTTTATGTATGTGGTATTTCTAGAAGATAAATTAGTGTAGAACATTCTCAGTGTGGTATTACTTGCTACATAGTAATCAAATGATTTTAATACACCAGTCAGTATAACATATTTGATGCATTTTTGACCAGTGTTGAACATACTTATTTTGTAGACCTCTGCAAAATGATTT